TGTCAACACAACAGAAAACGATAAAAAAGCACCTTTTTTTTTTTTTTTTTTTTTTTTTTGGGGTGAAGGGGGGGGGGGGGGGCTTCAGCCCACCTTTGCCCCCCCCTGGATCCGCTCTTGATTTGAAATCTACTTGAAAGGTTAAGTAAGGTAAACAAAATGCCTTATATTTGTTCCTGGGTTGTCTGTATTGTGAGCAGGCCTAGAGCTGAACAAGTTTGTAATGCTAGCCAAAAGATAATGGAATGTTTCGCAGAAAAGAACAATTTCGTTTATACCTAGAGTAGACAAATAAAAATAAGATCCTTTCATGACATTGGAATTTTTTTAAATCTTGCTTTACTACCCAATTAATTTCTAACCCCTTCGTGGAGCCTTGAAATACCTCAGCAGCTAACAAGAATGATCATGCATAGACATCAATTTGGGACATGTGATTCACAGCCCCAACTCCAGTCAATCACTTTGTTAACATAGTCACATTGATCGACATCTTTCACATGCATAATATATTACCAGACTACGCATGGGATATTTGTATCACATGTCTAAACTGGGTAGTATTGCACAATTTTTCATTTTGTCGAAAGGAAAGAAGTATTGAAGATATTTTAAGACTGCTTGTCGAAGGCAACCCCGTAATTATTACCTCTTCATCAGAAAGGAATTCCTCCTCATCAGGACAAAAGATCTGCATCTGCCTTGATCCTTCACTTTTAGGCACAGTTGGGTCACTACTTGAAGTGAAAACTGGTTCATCCTCATTAGAGAGTACTGTATCACTGCGTTCTTTTTTCTCCACTGGCTCAACATCTCCAGTACTTGGTGTTGGTGAGGAGCCATTTCTTGTCCTTTTGTCTGATAGCTCTGAATTCCATGATGGAGGCAAAGCTGGTGACTAAAGAAATAGAAGATTCTTAGCATTACTCAAATCCTACATTTGGCAGTATGATGACTGGATAGAGTAATTTTGCATAACTGTAAGACATCACAGCAAACAGCACTGTTAAACTAGTCAAAACACATAAAATCACTGGTCATTCTATCAGATTACTTGGACACTGCACCATACCAGTTACCATATGGCACTTTGAATACAAAGAATCTTTTTACAGTTATACAAAAGTTATAAATGCTGCTCTAATTGAACTACTACCTCCATATTACACTAAATGTGCAGTGATTATTATACAGCATCTATTCAGACAAGCTGTTATGAGTGCAAACAGTAGATACAATAACACAGGTGCATATAAATAATAACATAGGTTTTACAACGCATTTGATACATAGGTGAACTTCAGTAGGCGAAACTTATACATACTGTAGGTGAACTTCAGTAATCAAAATAATGAATAGGCGAAATTATCGGTGGTTACTACATATATATGCACATAAGGGCAAAGTTTTTGCATATGGCTGCATGCATAAACTATGATCCTCTTACATATATATACAAGTATATCAAAAGTAAACCTCTTATAGAGATTGTTACAGTCTTGTTTTTTTCTGGTACTTTTTTTCCAACTAATATTTCATCAGAGGAAAAGTTCTGAATTAAACTTTTCCGTATTTTTGCTTTTCAAATAAAAATCGATTGTAAAGGGTCCTTGTAAACCTAAACAAAGTTTTGATGTAACGATGGCCTTTATAATTTTACCTTCTTTTAATAATTTGATAAACACACAAGATACAAATAAAATACATAAAAGTGCAATGAAGTGAGTATTTCGATTTACCAACAAGTTGATCAGAATTGATTTAAAGTAGCATCTATAGTTTATAGCAGCTGTGGATGCCTTAGCTAAGGGTACATTTCTGTCGACTGGATGCAAGCAGCACTTAGGGTGTATTAATATACAGCAGTTAGATTCTTGACAAAAGGATAACCAACCCTTCTATTCAGCAAAGCTCTCTTAAGAAATGAAGGTGAGGAGGGAGGATGCAGTCCTGCGGCACCAGCACTTGACAATTCTTCAACACTATACTTCTTGCCTCTTGATTTCTTTCTAGAAGTCCCAGAGTTTTCCTCTCCTTCAGCACGGAAAGATGCTTCAGGACTAGAATGCTGGCGTACATGATGACTGGGAGGTGGTTCTGTACACTGTAAAGTTGGGACATATGATGGCATGTATGGGTAGCTTCGTTACATTATTATTAAGAGGTTTATTAGCAGTTTTTTGCAGCATTGTTAATGACCAAGCCATGTTTGTTGAAGAAGCATTGATATTCTATAAACAGTGTTTGCATAATGCAAGTCAAGTGCTGCAATCATGTACACATGGAATATATAGAGGATATTACATGGGCGCGTGGAGATACGAAATTTATCTTCGAGTGTTGAAAAGATCTCTCACAAGTGAGTGCAGTGAACGAGTGAGAGATTTTCAACACGAGAAAATAAATTTCGTATCTCCAAGCGCCCATGTAATATTCTGTTCATTATATATTTATCCATAAAATCAACTTAATAAGCTTTTTATTATATAAAAAAATTTTATTCATAAACTAATAGCTTCATTACACATGGTAACGATATTTTCACATGTGAAAATAACATGTTATTTTCACATGTGAAAATATCAGTTTTTCGAAAAGGAGAAATATAGGTATTTTATGGATAATCATATGATAAATTGGTTTCTTATATGCAAAGTGTTAAAGTCATTCATATATGCACATACTATCCAATTGCATAAAATATTGTAGTAGTATGTGAGTTGGGATATTAAGGAAGTTTCTGTCTCACATTATGACAATGATTGGTTACCAATAAAGAGGTAGAGATGATAAGAAAAACATGATGAGAAAAACATTTATAGTGCAAATCCAAAAACTGTGCGCACGTAGAAATATTTTAGGAATGTTCTATTTTTCTTTGGCCAATCAGAATTGACTTTATGACCACAAGTTAACGGACAGATAAATATAATGCTTCTGATTGGCTGATTAAACATTCTTGAAATATTTCTAGGTACCATGGTACCTAGGTACGATTCGCACTGTAATGAGTCATTTAAAAATTCGTGAACATACTGATTGTGAAATTGCTGTGAAGTTAGGCATAAGAAACTGACAATAAATTATCAATGATAATTTCTCCTTATCCTATTATCCTTATCTTTTGAATTAGGAAATCCAAAATTAAGATTGAATCTGTGGATTCTCGTAGTGTAACTATAAATTGGCTAACTTGTAGACAACAAAAGTAACTGATTAATGATTTGTTTGTGCTTAGGTGATCAGTTTAAAATGGTCTATTGAACATTCTCCAAGAACAAACAAAACTTTATCAGGTAGTTAAGTTCAGCAATAATTTATAATTTAGTTGTTTAAAGTAAGCAAATATATTTTCTAATATTTTTAGGAACTAAAATTGTCTACTATGTGACCCCCCCCCCCCCCCCCCCCCAGATTATTATTTGGGATTGTGTGTGCAGCACAGTGTATAAAACAATGTGTTGTGAACATTACATGAAAACTGTTGCAGACATTACCCTCTGGATTGTTGCCTTAAAATTCAAGTTTAAAGTTGCTTTAGTGTAGTAATTAAGAAGATAATATGTAGTGATTTCCAGATACATCACTAGCTCTAGATTATAGTGAGTAACTTTGTGTTTATCATTGATTTAGATATGTCATGCTAAGAATTCAACATGCATTAATGTGATCATCATCATAGTCATTCTCATTATCAATATATAACATCATCATTCCTAGTCATTGAAATAGTGACCAGAAAAAGCTATAGTTCTGGGAATAGAAATCAAGAGCTCAGAGTTGTTTTACTACATTTAATTCATTCATTTTAGATGATATTGCAAGAAATGTGCTTGCCAGCAATTACAAACAAAACTTAATGGCAGTTAATAATTAGTTAGTAATTAGAATATAGGTGCAAGTTGTTATTAGTCAGTAATGTTAGTATACTCACTAATGTGGCAGGTTTTTTGCGTAATCTCCCAGGAAGTGTCCTGGACTTAGTTGACTTAGAAGCTGATTTATTGTCAATGAGCTTGGACTGTAGATCATTAAAGCAATTATCAATCATAAATTAGCTAATAGATAGAAACTTTCCTGGTGATTAGTAGAGTTAATGTAGAACTTAATGTATAACCTTTCTAATACCGTTTGGCTTGTCAACTTGTTTCATTGCATACCGGTCTTTTCAATCCAGTCTTTTCCATCTACATGTAGGTCTCTTCATTTGATTTCAATCCACCTAAATATACATTTGATCCACCTATATATATATATATATATTATACATTTGATCCACATACATACACATTTGATCCAACACAGTTATGACATATTTTATAGATATTTAGGCATCACTTAACAGTGTTTTCTTTCAGAAATATTACAGAAGTTTCAATGAGTGAACAAAGCATAGTGTTTGCTCATGTGAGATATGTTTTGTTGCTTACAAAGTATTTTCGTTTCTGGTTTAATGTTTTTAATCCCAATTTTCACTTCCAATGGCAAGTCTTTAGCCAAAAAATTGTTTTCTACCTTAATGAATATTAGTCTCCTAGTCAATAAACTGAAGGAAACCAAGTGAAGGAATATCAGAAAGTCAAAAAAAACCTTTAGACGCAAACAAATACCTGTGTTTCAACGAGAGTGTTACGAATCGTCAATGAAACTGGCAGGTTCATTCATTTAATTGTGTCTTGAATGAAACATAGCCTTTCAGTGGAAGTTCATATTTCGAGTCACAGAGTGATCAACAAAGAGCGTTGAATGCTGACAAATCGTTTTGCTTGCTTTGATGCAAGAGTTGTCACCAAAATGGTCAAAAGAATGTTTGATAAATATACTTCAAAGTAGTTTCATCGTAGCTTCTATAAGTAGAAATGATGAATGTAGCATCTTGTAATCACAGCTTGACAGGTAGTCTGCATTTTATCCCTGAGGCTACATATATACTTGATTAACATACGTGGATCGAGAGTATATCATGTGCATCAAATGTATATATATATATATATATATATATATATATATATATACGCATCGAATGTGTATTTAGGGTGGACCTAAAACATTTGGATCGAAAAAAACTTGGATCAAAAAGACTGTGGGTTGAAAACATTGGTTACCATTTTATGAGTAGCATGAAATAAACAAGGAGGAATAAAACAAAAGAAGAAGAAAATCAGTCCAACTTACTTTGATCTGATCTGTTTTGTACTTGCGCTCAGGAGGGAAGGGAGGGACAAATTTATCAGCATCTGAATTTTCATTGGGGATATCGCTCTTCATTCTTCCTATCCATTCTGAATCAGACATGGATGCAGATCTGAAAATCGGGTTTTGTGTTTGGCCTGGAGGTGCAGATTGAGACCCAGCTGATGGCTAAAAATAACAATCCAATAACAAAATGTGAATGGCATGTGATTATTAGAGATTTTGGCTGCAGGTTGGTGCTACATAATAGGTCCCAGGGTCCCATTGCAACAATTTCCAGCTTCCTCAAAATCTCTATTCTGATTCCACAACCAACCCAGTAAGAATTTTTTAGTAAAGGTCAGACAAACCAGGGTTTTTTACTTTCCTCAGCGGTTCTTCCACGTCCCACTCAGCAGGGTTAGATAGTGTAGAAAGATGGAACTACTATTTTATGTGGTAATCTGAGCCATGTAAAGGTCTAACCATTTGCAGATTTTATTACCTCAGGTAATAATGTGGAACAAGATTCAAGTAGTAGTTATGGTAACAGCATCAACAATTATCAGTGTCCATAAGTTACTGCTTATCCAATCAAATTGTTGGGAATGGTAGCTATTGTAACAGTATCAAAACTTATAAGTTTTTCTCTAGAATATGTATAACAGTGTCACAACAACATTATTTACCATAGAGTAATCTTTTCCAGTAAGAGCAGCAAGTTCTGCACCAAAAGCTTTAATACGTGTAGTAGACTCTGCAAGCTGAAATAGACAACACATTACTAAACATCAAGTTATTTATCAACATATAAAAAGCTAGAGAAATATGAATGTAGTTGCTAAAGGTGAAACTTGCTTTTTTACCTGTTTCTGCAGTTTTTCCGATGGATTTTTCATATATTCCTCTCTAGTTTGCTGCAAATCAAATGTTACATCAACTATAATCTGGAGTGCATACTTGTGATTAGATACTGAATGTTTAAAATAAGAATTGTTGAGAATACATAATATAGTGTTGACATGAGTCACATGAAACAGTTACCTCATAAAATGCCTGTTCTTGAATAAGCACACGCTCAACAGATTGAGTCTTGTCATCTCGACAGTGATCTCTGGTAGACTTTTAAAGAACAATGCAACACATAAGAATGGCTGAATATGTTAGTGGGATACATTTGCAAACTGTACTTACAGGAGGAGAGGAGGGAGGTACCTGATCTCTTGGGATTATTTGATTTGAAGCAGAAGAATTTGTTTCTGAAATAGAAATGAAAAATAAATTTTTTTTTTTTTTAGACTGATATCTTTATTTACAAGATTTCCATAACATAGATGTAAAACTCTTGAATATTACCACAATGATAATTATCATAATGATAATCTTTTATTCATAAGAGCAGGCTGATTATTTTGGCAGCTTTTGCTGATGTGGGCCTCCTTTAACTCTCACACTCACTGCCACTACATTTACTATTTTATGTACACAACCCACAACTCGCACGTTAAAGTTTATGGAGGAAGGATGAAACTTTTCACATTTGCTACTAATTTCTATTTGGCTTCTTAAATTATGGAGGCTTCCCACGGTTTATATAGTACTCAACCTGTCAACTTTGGACGGCCGTAGCTCTTTATTTATGCAAGCAACCACAATTTTGAAATTTCGACCCACTTACTGTACAGAGATTGAAGTTTGTAAAGATGTTAACTTCAGAACAAATTGTGAATTTAAGAGGAAAATTTTAGGGGAAAATTAATATAATTTAATATATATAACACTTTATATCTGATAACAATTTATAATAACTAAAGAAACTCTATGCAAATTTAAATAAATAAATAAATATATATATATATATATATATGTAATAGAAAAACTATATAATGTACTGATAAAATAATTCTAAATAATAATAATAATAATAATAATAATAATAAAATTAAAGGATACAACGCTATTGCAAAAGAGTAATGTCATTTTAAAAGTTTAGATCAAATAAGGTGTAAAATTGCTGCTAATACAACATGTCACTGTTCGTTGCTATGGTAACTCGGACTCCAATGAAATGCACTTCATTAGAAACTTTATTCTTCATATCCAGTACGTGGGTGAAATTTCAAAAGTATAGGTGCTTGCAAAAAGAGTTAGGGCCATCCAAAGTTGATCGGTTAAGCACTAAAAAAACTGTTGGAAGCCTCTTCAAGTGTCTTTAACCAAAAGCAAAATCCAAACTAAAACCCCACTTTTTGTAACTACCTAACTGACCTACCTGGCTACTGTATATACTGTAGTGATTATTATCTGCCTAAATATACACTGTACACTGCACCCCAACCTACCAACACATTATTATATCTAGACAATAAGAACCACTGTTAAGAATGTTAGGTTTGCATATACATTAAGAACATCAAGAATATAATACATCAATTTGTTTAAAATATGATTCCACTCATTGTCTCCTTATTCCTTTAACGTGCTGCTACCAAGTGTATTAACAAAACACTGACTTTATAATTTTTCCCCCTCGTATTTTGAACTGGAGGCAAAGTTGAATAAATAAATAAATACACATACACATGCACATACATATACATAGATAGATAGATACATATATACATATTTCCCATATTTTCCTTGCCATCAATGTTCTCACTAAAAGGTTTTTAACTTCCTTATGCTACAGGAAGTTCAATTTTTAATTTGGTTAAAGTGGTCAGGACTGTAAACCTACCAGTGGATAGTGAAGTGGCTGGGGGCCTACCAAGTAGAGTAAGAGCAACATATGAACCAGCTGCAATCAAAAAAAAATCATATTTAAAATAAATTGAACCCTAAAACAACCCAACTCTAGACTGATCAATGTCACGGCATGTCTAACTGAGAGACTGCATTAGAATCTTGAAGTGTTGGGTTTTCTGTTGGATGGACAACTAATGAAAAACCCCTGAATCAAGGGTTAGACCCAATAACACTTTTTACATGTAACACAGAGTCCTGTAATCAAACCCAAAATCCAAGAGGTTAGAGGCAAGTGCACTACTGCTGCCGAGACATATTTAAAAGATACTTACATTTGATAAGTTTAACAACTTCAACATGATTGGAATAAGTAACGACTGTGCCATTGACCTGTAATCACAAAATATTTACTCCTGTTAGTACCTAAATGCTTTGTTACAAACAGATCTGATACTTTTGACCTTTATCACACAGCACAATTTTTATTCAACTGAGAAATTGACTCTGATGAAAGGCTATAAAGGGGGAAATGTATTTGTACATCTAACATAATTGCCAAATAAGAAAGGCCCATGAGCAATCATTAATATGTATTAACATTGGATATTATTAATACCTTGATGATTCGGTCCCCGACCTGAACACCTGCACGCTTTGCAGCACCATCTACAACAGATTAAGATGATTTAGATTTGTACATATGTACCAAAGGTATACTATGGAAGATTGATTTGATTTCTATAAATAAACTGTCAAGATGTTTTCATTCATCTAATGATCTGTTACTTTTAAGAATGCTAATTACTATGTACATTCTTATATTGGACAATGTTTTTCTGTTTCAGCTCCTGAACTAAGGAATTATAGTGAAGTCGCCTGTGTGTTCGGATGCCTGAGTTAAAGCCGCCCAGCTCAGACGTGGTTCTATCGCTTATAATACATGGTCTAGACGCCCAGAGTTGAAGTCAAACCAATAACAGAAATATAAGCAGCAGAAAAGCTTTATAAAACATTCGTAAGGCATTTTAGATTAACTATGGGCTAGGTGCGACCGCAATGAAACAAAGATCGAGTTGATTATTTTGCTAATTTTTCATCATTATGATCTAAAATTCCTATTTAATTCCATTGTATCCATCGTTGTTGTTAAATTCATATACAGTGCCTAGAGCAGTTCCTGGATAGAGGCTTTTAAAATTATATCATCATCATCATGTATTATTATATGTACTAACCATCCTTAACAGACTGGACATAGACTGGGTTGTCACCGGTAACGGTCAGACCATAACCCCTCTCATCCCTCTGTACTATGACACAACGCTGTATCAAATGCTGACCTGAAATATAACAATCAAAGTGCATAAATACTAATAACTCACTGTCTTTAGATGTGCAGAAATAACCATCTTCTGGATAGCAATAGCAATAGCAATAACAATAATAACAATGATAACAGTAATAACTAATAATATCTAATGATTATAGGAGGCAGTACGGTCGAGTGGTCATAGCATTGGTCATAGAGTTGGTGCTGGGTTGGAGTCCCGCTAGCTGAGACTGTATTTGTCCTGATTCCTGATTAGTTCAGATTCAGTTTCTCGACCATTCTTGTAAATAGCCAATTGGTTTGCCTTCTTGCCAGTTGGGATTCTTAAAACACTTTATGTTTCTTTGATTATTTCTTCATTTCAGTTTATTAATTTGTGAACTACACTGTATTATTAAACTCAGACTTGATTCTGCATCTCATTAGTTGACATGTGCTTACGCTGGCTTCACATGTGGTCAATTTTGTCATTTTTTCAATATTGTAACACCACAATCCCTGATATGATGGATCTAAGATCCGAAAGCTTGGAAAATAATAAATATATGTAGATGAAACAACAACTGAATATTAAATGACACCTACAAACAAAGAAACTTTAAGGTTAATAGCTCTTATTTTACAATATTATGCATAACCTTTTGTCCTAAAGATGTATTATAAATTATTGATTCTAAATTGAACATATATTATCTGAACCATATTTAAAAGTTGGAGTTGCTGTAGCTTATAGCGGAAACTTGCTGTGTTCCAACATGATCAGTTCAGTATCCAGTTGTCACTAGAACAGTCATCACATCTTTTTTTGTACATCTGCTCTGACACTAACCTTTCCTCCTTCTTTTTATTAAAATCTAAACCTATACTTTTCAAGTGAATCAAACCAGAGTCTTTTTTTTTCAATTTGCTTGGTTGCACTATTTTGTCAAGAAAGATAATGAAGAGTGGTTCAAGAGCTATTCCTGAATAATCCTGATTTGACTTCCAATATTGATGTTAGAATATCAATGGGAATATAGGAAATGTATCATTCAAATTTTAGATGTTTAAAGACAACAAAACAGGAAGATCTCTCAATACCATTAATTTGAAATCAATTACTGTGTATAGATGTAATAGTTTCATAAATTGTATACTCACAGGAATTATCTAAATCCTTCATTAACAGTAATGTCATGCACACCCTGACCAAATTGATTAGTTACTAGTCTTGATTGATAACTAGATCCAATATGCGATCAAGTATTCCTTATTACGTTTGTTATTTTTTTCTGGTGCATTTGTTAATCCACATAATCCTTTTAAAAATATTCTATCCTCATTTACACATTTTTAATCAAAATTCAAATAGTGCTAAAGGAATTCAATATCACGTCTATTTTGCCAGAAACATTCTTGACAGGGAATATAAATAAATTCTATAATTAAAGAAAAATCATTGAGGCAATAATTTCCAAGAAATTCAAGCAAGAAGAAAATGTTATAATGTTGATAAGAAATGTTGATATGCTATATCCTAAAACTTTATAAAAGTACACAATAAAAATTTAAAGTCAAAAAGCCTGTTATTTTTAAGCCTGATCAGCAGTGTCATAAAACATAATTATTAAAAAACTGTAAAAGGTCATTACATGTTTGCCTCTTAAAACAAGATCTTGAGGGCAGGGTAGACTGGGATACCTGGAAGAAGGGAGTGGAGGAGATGAGCTTCCAAAAAAACCAGTTGATAAGTTGATAGGCATTGCGTGTCATGCATTGGAAAACGACATCGAAATATGTGATGTGATTTCTGTGTTAATCTACTTTGGCAGTTTTGTTCAACGGTTTTTTACAGAAAAGAATGATTTCTTTTCATTATGCATGTCACACCATTTGTCAAATTGCCCAAACCTGCCAGCTGTCATGAAACTGTACTCAACTAAATATATTACACTCAGAAAATGTCCATTTACCCGCCAAAATAATAAGCAAAGCTTTGCTACACATTCAATTAGAAAAATCAATTAGCTTGTCTTTATTTGGGTCTATAACTAAGAGATTGATTCTTGATACAAATTACCCAGTTGTTTACTGAGACGACGTTCATGTGTCTCATAGTGACTAACTCGTAACAAAATCAGGTCGCAAAAAGTCTGACTGCTGAAGTCCTAAGAAATCAATTTATTCCTTAGAAAACTATTTATTTACACAGTCGAATTAGAGAATTTGTATATGCAAATTTCTTCAGAAATGTTTTTAGACTGGTCTCCATTCAGTTTTGTCTATTTTCTCAAATAATAGGCTCTTGCAAGGGTTAGCCAACATATACAGTAATTACTTGTTAGTCTCTTCGTTTTTTGCTCATCTTTGACTATACATTTAACTCTCTAACGAGTAAATAGTGCAAGATCTCTACAGTAAGCTTCACAATGAAGCACTAGTCAAAATATGTTAGCCATTTCCAAAATGGCAGTCATTTTCTCAGTGGGGAAGAATTCAAAACGACAACTACCCACAAAGTAAATCACAAAATGGCCGGAGGAGAGAGTTTGCAACTAAAACACATCATGATCAGGGTGATAATTCATGTGACCCTGCCAGTCTAGATTATGACAGTATCAATCATGCGTAAACAACTCATTTGCATCGTGTCAAAGTCTGAACCAATCAAGATCCCTATTGAAGGAGGCCGTAATTCATTTTACACATTTTACACAGCTACCACAGGTATGCCAGTAATAAAGTTATGGTACTGTAAAATTTATTTTATGATTAAAAACAAGTTATCTAGCATATTTGGCCCTCAAATTGAACACATACATAGCTTGTATTTATCTTTAATGATAATCCACTTCAATACATATTTTCTATAATAAACATTCATTTAAAATGAAAATAAATTAATATATTGCACAATTCATTATAGAATCGTGATAGGTTCAATTCCAAGATGGGTACCCTGTGTTACTATGGGGTTTGGTTGCCTAGTTAACCAACTCACCCTAGGTTACCATGGTAACTGATTCATACTGGATGACACTGATTGTGTAAATCATGACTGATTGCCATAACCATCAAAAACCAAATAAAGTAACGAATTAGCATAGTTGGTATGGTTCATAAATATAATCATATTTTTTATATTTTGATACTCTAACCTCAATGTCACCATTTGAACAGGATTTAGGGGTCCCCTTATGTTTACTCTTTTAATATCTTCTATCTTTTAAAAGTTAATAAAAACTGGTTTTTCTCTCAGTTTAATTTTAATTCAACCGAATTTTTGGCCACCCTTTTGACAAGGGCCATTAAAGCTTGTCTGTTGGTTCTCTTCTGTACTTCGAAGGTTTTTCTCTGGGTTTGACGGTTTTCTACCCTCCACAAAAATCAACTTCCAAATTCTAATTCAATCTATCAGTTGCCTTGTAATTAGGCCCTAGACATGTAAGGCTTTCAGTCCACCTCAGAGTGGTAAAGTTGAATAATTTGTCTTTTAAACTTGCTTAAAACATTCAGTCCAACATGAGTTCAAAGGAGGAATAACATGTACATTTACATCAAAATTCAGGGAAAAATAAAAGCAGTTATTGTCCATCAAACATATGACCATTTTCCTCTGATGAATGGTGCTCCGGAATATGTACAAAATTGTACAAAAATGCATTGATGTCAAAAATGCATTGATGTCAACAACTTTTAAAGCTTAGAATAATGACCTAAACTAGCTGTTGCATATTGCAAGTAGAGTGCTGCAAGTAGGCATGAAGTGATTCTGGGTTAATTTATGGTGGCTGCATATTGTTTATCTAGTGCCTGCATCTGTGATTTACTTATCATAGTGTAGCTGATGTCACAATAATACTGACAACAAATATATAGCTTCTCTTACAATATATATATATATATTTATTATATGACCATGAATCTTAGAGCCTGGACACTAGCAAATCGAGCAATCTGATTGGATAGATCGCATCACGGACTGGTCTAGATTCTCCGGTATTAACCGGTCTGATCGCATATTGATCTTACATCGAAAACATTTTGTCCTTTTCAATGAAAAGTGGTCATATAATAAAACTTTTATCAACCGAGCTTGGTTGGTCGGGATAATCTTGACCTCAGTCGGGTACAGACCTCGGTCAAGATTATCCCGTACAGACCTCCCGCTCGGTTAATGAGATCTAAATATTAATTTTATATCTAAATTATTATAAATTAATATTTTACAAATAGATGATTAGCTATAGGAAGGTAAATAGCTAGTCATGCGGGTCAAAAAATAAGCTGGTATTTATATAATACTAACTTCAATCAGTGACAACACCTAAGTAGTAGAGATGGATTGAAAACATCCAAATAAAATCAATCTTGTTGAACAAGGATGCAATTTTTCACAACCACGGTTCACAAAAGTGTTAAAGCTAATAAAAAAATTTTTGCTTTCCCTGTAAAATGTCCCTTAATTTGTTCGTGAGATAAATAATAAATGAATAAACTGCTGAAACAATACATAAATTTGAGTTTGACATGATTTAGATTACATGATTACTTGCTTGAATTAAAATGAAATAAATAATGACTCGCTCAGGCAACATGTTGAGTTCATTCCGTACATCCTACATAATAATTTAATGCATTGGGTGTCAGGGTTGAAGGGTATGTAAACTCCTGACCAATGTTTTGTTGTTTATGCAAAACTCTGTTAAGCAGACATCCCCTATTGAGTGGACATCAGAAAATGTTCCAAGAGTCCACTTATACTGGTACTACCACTTTACTAAAACTACCTAGTATTTTAGCCTATATACACCTCCTTATCATCGAGCTATGTCTTACGATGACAATTCTGACAGCATAATATTGCGAAGTCACCCGAGAAAACATCAGAAAGCTAAAAACTATTAAGCCTATTAAGTATGACAGATGCAGTGTGTGAAGATCTCAAAAGTAAAAACCAACACTTAGTAGGCTATCATAAAAGCACATGCAAAGGAAATTAATCAAGGAGGATTATTACTGTTAAAAGATCAATATTTTTCTATAATAATCTGGGTTTTGACATGCCCAAAGTTAAGTTAAAACATCATAATATTGTATCAATAATATTCCAAGGATGCAATATATACGATAAGATGCTCTTGGGGATTGCACTGGGTTGCCTGGATTATCCTTTCTACACTTAAAGTGTTTTTTAACATCCAAACCAGTAAAGTGGAATGAGATTCGATTAGCAAAAAAATTCATGCAAAACTATACAGATGCAGTGGCATATATAGAAACAGCATTGCGTTACTGACATTACTACTCTCCATCTTGAATTAAGCATAAGAATCTTGACCTCCTAAGACACATAGTGTCTGACGAAATAAATATATTCATTTGAGGAACTGTACATGGCCAAATAAGCGACATACATTTGTTAAGAAATGTGTTTAAATGGTTATTTGTTTTTGCTAACTTTCTAAAGTTCTTGATCTCTCAATTATCAAATATATTTTTGAAATAAAGTGTTTAGTAATATCCAAACCAATAAAGTGCAATTGAAACTTGGTTAGCAAAAGGATTTAAAACTCAGCAAAAAAAGTATTCTATGGCCAAAGCTACCAGCTGTATTGCCGCATAGTATTTAGGTAACGATGTATTCATATATAGATCTTTTTAAATAAAATGGCTGAAAGCCATATTTTCCTCTAGGCTCTACTAACCCATGCGATGGTAGCATGAATACTGCCGGCTGAGTAGCTGTATTAATACTAATAAAATTAATATCTGAATTACAATCCTAGAAATCTTCTTTTACTGCTCAATTATATTACTCCTAAAGCCTGGAGTATCAGTCTCAGCTGCTGAACCAGCATATGAGCCATGAATCTATGAACATGTCATTCAAATCCATATATGAGTACTCTTGCACACAAAAAACAGGCATTTTATGACTGGGCTGCCACAGGCAACCCAAAAAAATAATTTATTACACTTTTAGAGTCGATAAAGCTGTGAATAAAAATAATATCAGTGAAGTGATACGATATCACCCTCATGGTGAACTAGAAATTGTACATTTTGTCATTTTATCGACCCTAAATGTGTAATCGACAAATTATTACATGTTAAGAGCCTGGTATCTTTTCTATTCACTCGTTTTCCATATGATACCACTCACTCGCTCACAGACTTGCTTGTTCGCGATATCAGATGCAAACTAGGGAATAAAAACAATTTCAGGCTCTTAACATGCGATAATCTCTATTTACTTTTTTGTTCTTATACATTTTATAGATTTGGAATACATCCTTCAAGTGATAAGTCAAATATAATATCAGTTGTAATTTTTCATGCTTAAACCAAAGATCAATACATATTATTAAACATTAAAGTTAGATGAATATTTCTTAACCCTAAAAGTGCCATAGCAAATCATCCCCATACAGCAATTATTCTGAGGGATTCTACATCATTATGTTACACTGGGGAATAATATTTTTGTCACAAGACTAAAATTATATTGTTGCAGAACACAATATCTTTGGACAATACTAAGTCTTGGAAATCTATTCTAATCAACACAGACACATTTTGGCAAGAGCTATATTAAAATTTACCTGTATAATCTAAAAACCCTTGGGGGAATTGCTTAAATATGTATATCTATGTGTATATGTTATGTTAAGGAGTTGATGGAATCATTATTGTATATTTTAGTTTTCAGATCCAGACATAAAAAACATAAAAAATCTAACAAAGTGATTAAATGACGACAATATTGGCCTCAAAAGGAGTGTGTTGTTGAAATATCCAGTAGATTGTATCGACGAAAAATTACGTGAGTATACATATCTATATGTGTACCAATCAATATATATCTATCAATAACAATCAACATATTTATAATCTACATATATCTACAGTATATCTAGATAAATATATATATATATCATTACCAATCAACATATGTATATTTATATATTATTAAAGTTTCGTAACAGAGAAGATTGGAATTATTAGAGAAAAGTAATGGCGAGATAAAGTTCGAAAAAACCTGTAAGTATGATCGGCATTTATAAAATGTGCGAACGAAAATAAACAAAAAGCGAAAAACCGTGAAATGTGCCGTGTACCATCAATGACACCAAACAGATGTACACAAACCATGCTGTAATTTAAAATATCTTGATTTTGACAGTCCAACTCGGCACAGATTCGTGACAGACTCTACCAAGTTGAATAATGTGGAACAAGCAATTTGATACAAACCACCTCGGGAATAAAGAATTCTTCATTCTTATACAACTAGTCAACTAGAAATAATCTTACTTCTAGACAATAAATAAATAAAAAGTCTTTAAAATTTACTATAAAAATTAGACTCTATTCCAAGATATGTTTGTATTTTTTGGGTTCGTTTTCACCTAAATCACAAAACACACGAGCTCAGCTTGAAAAGTTTTGGAAAATCATACGCGATTTAATATCTTCAAAAAAAGCAGATAAAGCTAATCAGAAATTTAAACAATAAAAAAGCAAAAAATATGCCATTAAAGCGAAAGGCCTCTACTTTGGTATCGTTTCTGGGCAAAAAAGCAGAAGTGATAATTGGAGTTTGAAAACCGAAACTTTCAGAAAAGAAATTCTCATATCAGCGATTGTGGAGTTTATGGATGCCTGTGCTGGAAGAATTATTGGTTTTATTTCGTTTTCTTACCTTGCAGCTGGAGATCAGACTGACTTGAATCCATGCTGGATCCTTTTTTTTTGAACTCCAGTAAAAAATTTGTTTGAATCAGAAGAAATCGTCACCCTAAAAAATTCCAAAAGCACGTCAAAATTACCTTGAGCAATTACCAGTGTACATTGGCAAGTTAACATTCCAGTATTTAAGCAGTTCAATGTCACTCGCTAGTCTAAAACAACTCTTGTAAAACCAATACATAAATAATACAAGGACAGACTATTTCTTTAGAGATCCAAATTGTAAAAGCTCTCCTCTCTTGCTTGGAAGTCTGGCTGTTCAGCAAATCGGAAAGCAGTACCGAAACATCGTGATACGATTCTTTCCTTCCTCTAACATCACAGTTCTCTTATCACGTCATCCCTTCACTGACCAAAAGAGCAGCATTCCATAGGCTTAAAACCACAAACTTTCAGCTTTATACTTGAATTTTAGCAAAAAAATACCTCAGAGCTCGAAAACAGAACGTGAGTTGTTTTTGCGCGAACCATGTACGAAGTAATGATGGGTGAAACGAAAGTTCACCGGCAAAAAACTCAAACTTACCCTTCTGTTTTGAAGAAATGGAAAAGTTGGCCTTTACCGACTCCATCCTACTGGCAATTCATTAAATCATCAAGTCTGTGAATAGCTTCAAATAGTGCTAATTATCTGTACAAGACACAGGCAATACTCCAAACACTCCACAAGGACAACTCAAAGAAGTAAAATTTATCTGCCAAAATAAGCAGCAACGGGGTCTCAATTCTTTTCGAAACACGACCACAGCTATGTTACAAGCCTAAAGCCTCATGCAATATTGATTTGGAACGATAAGATCTGATAATGGTGCAGTTGTTTGAGGACGAAGTCAGATAAATAGCTGCAAACCATTGAATTTATCTCTTGTGGATATATTTGTCCAAAACCAAGATGGCGCTCAGATCCTTACCTATGTACAAGGCACCCCGCAGATCAAGACATTCCTATGTCACGTGTCACAGGGTGGATTTTTGAGCACAGAGTCTTCCGGCTTTTTGGTCAGCGGGCTGTCGCCTATTTAGGTAGGTCCTTCATATAGTTGCACAGTAGTGTGTTATTTTCCTACATATTTTGATAGTTCTGCACAATGCTGCTCTGCTTACAGTATCTATGTGCTTCATCATGCTTGACTATGCTTGAATATGCTTGACCATGCTTGACTATTGACTATTGACTACATATATGTATAAGAGATGGTTGAAGTCTTTGTGTGATTAAAAAGTATTATTTTTATTTTATCTTTATTTATGAACAACCTTCGCTATAAATTTCGACCAGCAAAATAACATCATTTGATTGGTTATTATTCATAAGTATAGTTATCTGCGTGTAAGCGAGGCTCCATTCATATACATCACACAACCATCAGAAGGAAATAATAAACAGTCCAGTGCTCTATAGAAAACAATTGTTTTTCTTTCGGTTCAAGTATGCCATCAAAAAATTTCTCAATACAGGTCAAGTAAAGCTCAAAATGCTTGAGACTAGCTATAATTACATTTTAGATATTGCTTATGGTGGCGTAAATCACAGTTTGCCGGGCAATGGAGGTCCCGAGTGTGTAGGGTTCCTATCACTGAGACAAAGAATCGTTGAAACGCTTTTCTATGTGACGTTCGCATTTTTTGTATTTTTAAAGACTTTGCCACATTGTAAGATACCGCACACCTTTCCTACTCATAAGACCGGGTCTGGACTAGCAAAAAGGATTCTTTTAATATTGATGTGCATAACGTTTGGAATCGAAGTTGGGTTCAAAGTGGTCACGAAGCAAGTGATATATTTACTCAATCCTTGCCACGTTTTATCGGGCTTACAGGTAAGCAAGGCATTCATCTGACATTTCTCAACTGTCACTGTAATCTAGCAATGAATGATATTCGTTCGCTTTAAAAAAAAGTTATTTTAAATTTAAGCTTAGATAAATGATTGTGTTGAAATGGAAGTTTTCGGGATGTGATTAGCATATTCTTCTTGGCTTTTAGTTGAGTGAGCTAGTTCACAATATTTCCCTTTTATTTCCTCGTACTTTTAATTGAGCTTTTATTTTAGGATCCTATTCGGCAATAAAATTCTAAATTTATATATCAAGATATCAATACAAAGTGATTCTTATTTTTATTTGCACTAGACTTGAATGAAGTCGATTACATATGAATCATAAATAAGTAAACTTTACTATATTGCCTCGAATTCAAGGTCTAATTGATCAATTTTCGTACCAAAAAGATAGAGGAATACACAGAACACACCGTGTTTTATTACACGGCCGTCCGTAGATGTATAATTCTAGAGAACGAGTAGTTTAGCTGGAATTATGAAAGAAATCTAAACTTCAGTGGAATGTGAACAAGATGTTGAGTTTGGACATGATGCGGGACCAGTCCTGTCATGTCATAATAGGATCTTTTTGGCAGGAAAGAGAGAAACTAGGTTGAAGCTAGGTCTATTTGTGACAACCAATGTTATAAATTTCCCAGTGTTTTTACAAGAGAATGCTGAAACAGCCTGAGCATGTGTTATTCAATGATTCAATAAATTTGGTGGCAAAACCTGGCATGGCTTTAATATCTCCTTTACAGCTTAGAAGTAAGCTTTTTTTCTACAAGCACAGAAAAAGATTATGAATTTACCAGAAGTTAACCAGGAAATGTGTTAGTTATCATCATGTCTCTTTTCAATGCCACGTCCTGGTTAGCTCAGTTGGTAAGAGCGCCGGTCTGTTGTGTGGGAGGTTGTAGTTCAGCACTCAGGGTCTTAAAATAACCGAGAAGGTGCTGCCTCAGTAAATACATTTGCAAATAGTTAGACCAAGTTTTCAAGTGGCTTGGATGACCAATTTAAATGGCCGTCCCATCTCTCCACACTCATCATTACTAACCAATATCGGAGGGACATAAAAGAACCACTGAGGACGTAAAAAGAAATCCTGGCATTGACCACCCTCAGTGCCTAACCACCTCTCATTCTATGAAGCGCCTTTGAACATATTCATATGGTAAAAATAGCGCTATGTAAATATATATCATTATTATTATATCATTATTTCCATTTGATATTCCTATTTATACATTAAGTAGTGTTTAAAAAATGAGTAGGAGTGTTTTATCAGGTATCTACGAGTCTACGAGTTTTTTGAACTGCTTAAAACACTCATGAACAATTTATAAGATTTTGGTTCAACTGGAGCCACCATACACGTCACGAACATGGATTTTTATACTTCGATAGAGATTTGACATCACGGGCATGCGCAACCAGATTCAATAGAAGCTCCCACACGTTGGATATTGCGTGCCAAGGCAAAGACAGGCACGTTAGTCAAAGATCTTTAGGGTTGACTATGACCTTGATGAAGCTCTATGTATTCATCTAAACTTGGATGCATACTTCATCCCTGATGAAGTCATCCTCATAGTATTCGAGTGGTCTTTATATAAAGACACATGTGTCTTTATATAAAATCACTTGAATACTAATGAAGAGGACTTTATCAGGCATAAAGGTTCATGCACGTGACGTGTATGGTGGCTCCAATTGGACCATAAGCTTATGAATTATTAATGAGTGTTTTAAGTAAATTAAACCTGTACTACATCTATCTCTCGAAAAAGAATTGGGAATGATATTGGAATGTGAGATATCTTATTAACTACTAATATATATTTTTCATATGTGCCTCCATGGCAATTACTTTATGGAACAGGAATGTAAATATACTTAATCATATAAATCATTGTGATTTTGAGCCACAAACACGGGATTAATATTGGCAGCTAGGGTGTTGGGAAACCTGTAAACAATGATAATACATAGGTTTTGTATCACAATTCTCTTTTTGCAAGGTAATTCTGAGATGACAATTCAGAGACAGGCCCATTATTAGGGGAGGTTGGATAGATCAAATGAAACCCCCCTCCCCCTTTCCCCCATACACAAAAATGCAATATGATCCAAGAATACAGAAAAATGTTTTCAAGATATTGCATAAACTAAGATCTTGATAGAAAAATAAACCTCCCCTTTCAAGGTCTTAGCAATGTATAGGAGAATCTTGATACTCAGCCTAAATAAGAATTGTATTTGTGCAGTGTGTGTGGGAAACTAGACTGAAAGGAATTAGAACAAGCCTAGAAAAACACCCCAATTTAATTTTTGAAGACAAGATTGCATATGCATTTTTATCTTACATAACTTCTATTCAGCTGAATTAAAAAGCAATTCTTATTTTCATTTATTTTTACAGATTTATTTATTAATTGCTCCACCAAGCAAAGTGGTTTATAGTGTCTTCAGGTAATGTTTAGAAAATTAACTATTATACCTAAATAGTCTATGAAAAACAAAAACAATTATTTCATTTATTATGATAATTATATAATTATTTATACAAAGATTAAAGGCATTCACCTTGTATAGTAAATGTCTGTGGTTTTTCTATTCAGTGTCTTGTGGTTGGTTCAAGGTTGCAAACCATTCACTAATGTTTCAGTTTGAATATCAAGCTTCTGTTCAATCCACAGCAGCTGAAGCAATCAATTATTTATTATTATTTTATCTTATTTTTATCAGAATACAAATTTACATTATCTTTGGAGCTTTACTGGCTGTCGTTTTTCCAGTTGTGAATACTAGAACTGTAAGTTTAAACATATTTGGTTTCATATTAATGATTTACCCCCCAAAACATTAATTATTTTTTTGCCAGAAGCAGGTTATATTTTCTGGGAAAGGAGGTATATTTAGTGAGAGGGAAAAGCATTGATGAATGTCGACAGCAACATATAACTAAAAGGGTCCTTCTTATCTGACTGATCCCCAGTTGTCTCTCTATACTGCAGCCATGCACAAAGAGTCAAAAGAAGGGAAGAAAGAAGGCCTTTGTGCACTGCTGAGCTGGCGTATTAGAGAGATGACTGGGGACGAGTCAGCCTTCTGATCAAACGTTTATGAAGTATATTAAATTAAGGTCTCACATCAAAATTATTACTATAAGAAAGGAGTTATGGGAAAGAGTTTAATAGATATGCATGTATTTCAAACGTGCATTGTGGTATGGAGTGAGTTTATTAAGGGGAAAACAAAGCCAATTCTTGAATGCAATGGTTTTGCAAGTAATAGATGACTTGCACTAACAGGTCACATGACCCTAACTCCCTTAAAACGAGCAGTTTTGTCAGAATAAAAAAACAGAAATGAAAAGAGCATCTCGACATTAGTAGGAAGGCGGAGTTTCAGCTCATTATAAGCGAAACAGGAGAAATGGCATTGAATATAAAAATTAAATGTTTTGTAAGGATTTGTATGGGAAAATGCGCTGGACGGCAAAAGCTTACCAGCCAACATTTTTCCCATAGAAGTCCTTGTAAAATATTTGATTCAAAACTTAATGTCATTTATCCAATAGTCAACATTTTGAGCTGAAACTTGCCGTCTTGCTAAAGTTGAGGTGCTCTTTTCATTTCTGGAGTTCATTTTGTGTCATTTGCTCATTTTAAGGGCGATGGGGTCACATGACCTTTTAGTGCAAGTCCTCTATTATAAATCAATTGAGGTCCAGGCTTGAATTTGGGGTATATAGGGAAATACAAATCAACAGTAACTTGGAGGTGTGGGGGTAATTTCATTGGGGAGAGGGGGTGGGGCAATATTTAGAGAGAATCAGAGCATAATGCATGATGCACCCATAAGGTAAGGTTTGGCTTTGAATTTGGGATTTAGGATATAGCAAATAGTACACATATCAAATGCTTGGGCACGTAACATGCAAGCAAATTTTTAGAAAAAGTTACAAGTTATTTTTACAATCAAGTAATATTTAATGTTATTAAAAATGCTATTTTTTCTTTTTAAGTTGCCTTGTGAAGTTGAAGTCTATTGGATACAACATCTACTCATCCTCATTGTTGTACCCTTCTTCCTAATATCATGCGAAGGTTGAATAAAATTTAAATAATCATATAAAATCTAAAAAGCCACTATTTTCTTGCTGTGAAAAGGGGGGCCCTGGCCTCCCTGGCTACACCCTCGTAGTATTCACTGAAAGAGAAAATCCATGCGTGTCACTCCTGTCAAACACTTTATTTAAGATGGGGATCTCTTCCCTGCTAGTAGAGTCTCTCTTCTCTTTCTCTCCCTTCTTTCAGGCGGGGAGGAAGGAGACTCTGCCGACACCGCCGTCCAGGATCGTGGACGAACAAAACCAGTTTTAAAACCGGTTTTTTTTTGTAGTGCGCATGAGCAAATGTAACACACCCTGGCGCCAAACGTTGTTTGACAAGAGCGGCTGTCAAAATCATGACAGCGTTGCTAAGTTACGCTTAGAATGTTGGTAGGTTGTCAGTTGGTGGTGGTTCGTAGGTTACCAGTAGGATGTCGGTAGGTTGGTGTTATCTTGACAGTAATTTGTTGGTAAATAAAATAGTGGCAGGTTGGTGGTAGGCTGTCACTAGAGTATAGGCCAGTTAATGGTAGCTTGATGGTGGGTAGACTGACACTGTGTACTTCTGGCCTGTACTGTAGTCAAGTTGTTGGTAAGTTGTTGGTGTTTTTCAGGTAGATACTGATAGAGTGATGGCAGGTTGTCAGCAGAATATTAATAGGTTAATGGTGTTTGGTTGCCCTAGCAACCTACCAACGTTGATTTGGGGGTTATATTCTTTAATATTAATGGTATGATTTAGGTTTCCTGAGTTAACCAATAGGTTTTTCTCAGCTACTTTTTTACTAAAAAATTATTGGTACGCTCGTGCTTAATCTTGAATATTTCAAAAATGACTGTCGAAGAAATCCCTTCTTAGATTTGAAATCAGCATTAAATTTTGTATATAAAATCGTGATTCAAAATTTTTTCAATAGTAGGCAGGCACCTTTAGTTAATCTATTCACCACTGCTTTGGCCTATGAAATCATTATTCATTGGAACTCATCAAATTTCGTTATTATTTTACATAGGCCCTTATGTTCTGGAAGACTTTTGGGACTTCAGCTGGGCAACACTAACTTACTGTCTTTATGCTTTTTACATGTTTCTTGTTTTACAACCACTTGGAATGGTGAGTACAATTTACAATATTTAAATAATCCAGTGTCCCATTTCTTCTTATCATACACAGTGTCACATACAGTACTGTTCCACTTTAAATTTACCACCAGTATTGTTTAAAGTTCTACTAGCATTGGTGTTGTAGAAGGTGGGATGTACATCAGGGAGCAGAGTAGAGTTTTTCATTTAAGAGGTTGGGAATGGGGAACTATTCACACTAATTTTAAGGCTAGCAGCAGTTTTGTTGAAATGTTGATGGTGATTGTGAGCTGAAGTCTTACTTATCTTGCCTATTTTGCCGTTAAATTGCAATATTAGTCAATGCCAGATGCCCTACTGAATGTAGTCAGTCAATTTCTCACCATTACTAGCATTACTTCATCCTGGTTGTACGAAGCCTGGATAGCGCTATCCAACAGATAAATCTTATCCAGTGGATAAATTTATTGGATAACAGCATCGACTTATCCTCTGGATAAGGATTTATTCTCTGGATAGTGCTATCCAGGCTTTGTACAACCGGGCCCTGGCAATCAACAGACAGCCTTCCAATGGTGGACAAGCTGATAACTTCATAACATCTCATCGGAAAGAAAATCTAAACAAATATTATTAATATTTATGCAAAATAAATTTTTTTTTGATTTGCAGCTGAGTCAAGTCAATTTAAACAGCACAGTTTGTCCAGCTGTTAGTGATCCATTCAGTGGCCCATACTATAGGATGATTGCCTGTTTATACATTCCAGCTCTAATCTATCTTGTTGGAAAAGGTGTATGTCTTGCTGGGAATGTGATGCTGAAAATTCTTTCTAAATTTGAAAAGGTTGATTAATCATCAACATTAATTTGAATTATTTATGCTCCTAAGTAACCTTTTTGATTATTTAATGAATTCATGTCAAATAATTATAATTGGTCATTATAATCAGATAACTATCAGTCTTATGCATGCATTTATTATTATTAATATATGAATTATTCAAAATTTTATGAAATTTAACATTATCAAATTGAGAAAGCATTATTTCAAATTATATATATTAAGGCCCTATTAGGAAGGGTACTATGTCATTCCTCTGAATTTCAAAACTGCCTTTGTCACAGTTTTGAAATGTTGTATTGCATGTTGGTATTTACCCATAACAAGGCCTTGCTGTGGATGATTCATTAAAGCAGTCCGTCATGTGTGGCTCTGTTGTCAGATTTTCAAGGCCATGTATGTAGCTAGTTAAATGTTTTACCCCTAACAGGGCCTTTCTATTTTGATCACTTGGGTGGCATAGCAATATTCGGTAAAACATTTGCCTTTGACTCTGTAAGTCCTGTGTGTAGTTTTAGATTAAATATTCAATCCATGAATGCACACATTGCATTTAGTTTTTTTTATTTGTTGTTCTCTTCCAATGCCATGCATGCATACATGAGAGAGTTTGGTTATAAGTTGCTCTTTTTATTGATTAGCTCAAATAATATTAAAATCTACAAAATTCCTAGCTGATCATATTCCTTCCTATTCCATATCATATTCCTAAATTAACAGAATTTATATAGTTTGTGTAGTCTTTTACTAGCTACTGAATGCTGCATGAAATCCTGTATCTTATATGCAAGGAATTTGTTGCCAACTCAACAAATGCAGATCAGACAGACCTACTTACACTAACTTTCATTAGGTAGTTTAAGCATACAAAAGCATATTAGCTATTATGAGATTGTGGGGGAAATTGGATTAAGCATGCATTGCTGTGTATTTTGGCACTGATTTAGGGGACGAAATCTCCCTAAAACAGCCCCAAAATGTACTACAGTACCAACTTTACCCAATCTTCCCCTCAACCTTGGAATGACTAATATATGTACAAACTAGAACAATTTTCTATGGCAATCAATGATTCTTGATATTCTGGGAACTCGTACTATTTCAACAGCTGGTGTGAATTTAGATTTTTACTTTTACTGTCAAAAATATACAAGGAATGACTGATTATTTTTGATTGGCGACAGCAAAAGACCAAATTTCAGCATGCAGCTTGCAACTACCAAGTTGAAAGAATATTGAGAATCACATGAAAGGGATTTGCATTTTGCTGGTAACAATTTTCTATTAATTCCTACTACATTCCTGTATTTGCCATAAGTAGTACTCAAATACTCATTCTTATCTTTCTACAATGCAACATATTATATATCAGCTTGAAAAAAATTATTTTATATTATCATTAAAGAATATTAATGTTAACCAAGATCCAGTAACCATAGTACTGAGCCCCAACCAGCCTCGTTTTCATGTTTCTGGCACATATTTGCCTGATTTCTTTGAAATTGGTGACAAAATAAAAATTATATATATTATAACAAATGTATTCACATAATAGTATGAAAGAAGATATAGGGGTGGTTCACCATTTTTATGCAGGGAAAAAAGGGGGTTAATGTAAATTGTTCCTCGTGAAAGTGGGGAAGTCGGGAAAAATCAAGCATAGGGCATACCCCTGTTACTCCAGTCCCCCTCCCTCTAAATAATGACCAGTCTCCTACTTGATATGGACTCGGTTACAGTGCATTAGGGGTAGATCCAGGGGAGGGTTGCAGGGGGTGTACACCCCTCCCTGATTTGACTTTGTGCCCCTACTTCGAAGAAAACCAATACTGTTTTTTCTCTTTGTAAGAGGTGCACCCCTCCCTGTGTGCAGCACCCCTCCCTGAACAAAATTCTGGATCTGCCCCTGTGCATGAATACTGCTGTTACAATTTGAAAACCACTATAACCCCTACAGGGCTTACTAGAAAAAGAAGATTTTCTCAAGGCTTGGATATGCCATATAAGTTAGGATTTCTGCGGATTACCTCAATAAAATATATATAATCATCCAACATCCAATTTGATCTACCTTTAAATATAGCATGACAATATTAGTTTATTTCTTTTTCTTTAGCGTTCTTTTTTCTTCTTTTTCTTTTTCTTCTTCTTCTTCTTCTTCTTCTTCTTCTTCTTCTTCTTCTTGTTTTTTAATTTGCATTTAGACATGTCAATAAATGAATTTTGAGTTATCATTGTAACACTTTCTTTGAGTATTTTGTCACACTTTCAAAATGCATACTGGTATAAAATTATCCTACAGCTAATCCAATGGAAATAAGATTCACTTTACTCACTGCTTTTAGAGGGTTTCCCTGCTAGCAGAGACTCGATCCCTCGTTTGCGATTCTTTCATTTGTCAATTTCTTATTGACAAGAAACCAAATAAGTGCCATCAGGATCACGCAAACCATATTTTAAAGTATGCGCAACTCCTACATGTGGAGTCAATGTATGTTCCTGTCACTCAAAATATCATAGCACGCACCAGGCAAGAATAGTACACTGCAAGAATAGTATACTGTAGTATACTGCAAACAAAGGTTTGAACGATAAAACGTTTGCATGTCTACGGTCTTTAAACAGACCCGAATCTTACAGAAAAAGTTTTAATTTTTTTAAATATTTTAATCTTTGACTTAGCTTCGAAATGCAAATGCCGACCTACAGGCGACCGACGCCAGCCAATCATGATACATGATCTGTTCACGTGACCAATGTGATGGCGGGCTTCTGCCTCGTGTGTGTTATGTGGAAATTCAATTTTTAGACGCTTTGATAGAGTTCAAAGTACTCTTTAAAAGTACTTTCTCAAAACAAAATCCAATCTGAGGTAGATTAATTTTAAATCTTATGTATAGTTGTGTATCTGAGTAAAAATATCAAAGAATAGAGTAAGGTTTGAAGGGTTTTTATAGGGTAATGTTATGAGAAATCGCCTTCAGATACTCGCTTCCTGCTTGATTTTCAGATCTTTCGACTCGAGGAAGAAGGCATGTCGTTTGAACAAGTAGACAGCGGAGACCTTGCTTCGTTTGCAGCAATAGCAGAATCGACGTTAGCAAACAAGGAAGGTGAGTCAAAGAAGACGCATTTTTAGCTTTACTAAGTGCTAAGTAAACTTGAATCACGACTTCAAAATACAAGTCGATTCCAACGACAAGATGGCGTTTTTCTTGTCGTCCCTGTGCGTCAGCAATGAGTCCAAACCTAGTGTAACCTCTAGCATAACTTTATAGTTTAAGAACTAAAGATCTGTGGGTGAAAACAAGTAGGTAAAGTTGTGTATGATGTGTTGATGATCAAGATTATCCGGTACCCAGTCTTTCGCTACAAGTAGTTTGTCTTCCCCAGGTTCTTGTTGAAGGAACGAGCCGTTTGGCGTCGAACCCAGTCTGGCCCCAGACCTCTTTTTTTCGCTAAATTTCCATCCTAAAACGCCTCGTATCTTACCTTTATGTGATTTCTAACTCTCTTTTTTGGTTGTCTACTTTTTAATGTGTTTTATAGTCGAGTTTTTCCCCAGAAACAGAACTTTGGTTTAGGTTGACTTATAAAATGGCGGAACTTGGCGCCCATTTTCACTTGGTTGGTCTTTGATGCTCTTGCTCAAACGGTCACTGTTTTGCCATTTTGTTATCATTGGAATGCTAATACAGTGTTTTATACTGCCTCCACCACTGTTTAAAACTTTTTCCAGCGTTTTTTAAACATTTTAGCCCTTATATTTTGAAGAATAAACTTCAAAGGGATGAAGCACGTTTGGCGTTTTAATATAATTCATGAAAATAAGGCGTTGGCGCCATTTTGAATGAAATAACTCGTAGGACCTCGGAAGTTTATATTACTGCGATTTTCATGAGGATGCGAACTCTTTGTCTCCGAGTTGCACGCTGAAATTTGGTTTTTCGCTGCTGCCAGTCATAAATGTGAAAGGCAAATATGATGAAAATCACAGTAAGAGATTAGGAATTTTCCCCACTATTTTAGTAACAGGTCATAATTTAGAAAAATATTTGAAACTGTATTTTCTAGAATATCCAGAATTTGAATTATCCCTCCAATTTTTATTCAGTTTATGCACTAGTCAGTGGAAACCCATGCCTCCACACTACCCAGGGTACAACTATAGAATACCCTGTTAGGAGAAGTATTATAGTGGGCTGCCTACGTGCCTACAGAGTGAGAATAGGAGTAGGAAAAAGCAATCGAGTACCTTGGGGTTAGGTTAAGGCTTAGGATTGGGGAACTGGGCTTTGTAGGAATAAACAATCGAGTACCTTGGGGTTAGCATTAGGGTTAGGATTGGGGAAGGCTTTGTAGCATGCGTATGCACGCAGGCTTCAAAGGCACGCAGGCTTTGTACTTCGTAGGCAGAGAGATGCGATGAAAAATACACTGAGAATTCATATGAAGAATTAATCACCAAGTAGGCCATGCACATTCCTTAGAAATGGCTTTCATTTGGCTGTGTATTGTATATTTATTCCCTACGCAGCAGGCGTTAGAAATAGTGGGGGGATTAGCCAGGCATTTGTGTAAATAAGAAAATAATAATAATGACTACTTTGGTAAAAAATATACAGAAAATTTAAACTTTTTTAACCTGTAGATTATTCAGCGGTTTTTGAGCACACACATATCTTGGACTTGAATGGAATGTTGAAAAGTAGTTAGCCACCTTAAAAGAGTTTGTTTTCTGAAACTCCCTACATAATGTCTTTTTAATTTATGCTAAACTTTTGCTTTCAAAAGCACTTATAAAATTACTGCTACAAATGGTGCTTATTTAAAAAACATTTTTTAACAAAGATGTTCCCTCAAATTCAGCACTGATTGACAAACCTGTATAACACGCTTCTCGAAATTTGAGCTATTTTTTAAAAAAAAAGTGTTCATTATAAACGGGCGTTTACTGTAAGCCCATCCTAAAAATAAGCCTTGCCAAAAATTGCAATGACCAAATGTAATCCCAGGTCTCATTTTCAAAGGTTTACTGTATGGTATTTAGTATTTATTACAGTTTTACCACCTTGTAACAATGCTTTTGCTGTGAAAACTTCCTAAGAATTCAATATTTATATAGTGGTTTGATTTATTCTTAGGAGAAACTAATCCACCACAAGAAGAACAAGAAGCTGAAAAAGAAAAGTCAGATAAAAGTTCTGCAAAAGAACCAGAGAATGAACAGACAAATATTGAGCAACAACAAACCACACAAGATGATACTGCTGATACTACAGAAGAAACCAGCCAGGAGTATACACCTGAGGAAGCCAGTCAGGGAGCTGAACAGGCTGCTGTATCTACTTCCACAGCAGAAGTAACCCAGGAGGTAGCCTCATCAGAATCACATCTACCAGATGGACAGCAAGAGAGTACATATGCTAATCTTCAGCCAATCTTCTTAGCCATGGAGATGGGGCAGACATCACAACATGAAGGGCAGCCTACTACAACTGCTGATATATCACAACAAACCCAAACACTTCAAGTATCACAAGCCATCACTGAGCAAGGAAATCAGTTGCCTTTCTCACAACCATCTAGTGTGCTTCTCAATAGCCTTACAACCTCGGTTGCCGAAGGAAGCACCTCAGTTTCCTTGCAGTCCATCCTTCAAGATGTTGTCTCTGGTATCCCTACAACCTCGGGAACGGTACCTGCTGCTATCATTACAGATCCATCCTCTAGCACTGGTTCATATTTAATTGTCAATCAAAATGGAATTCCTATTGTGAGGCCAGTACTGGTATCCAACATGCCAGAAAATGGTATGAGTGGTTCAGAAACTCTGCAGGTGTTGGCCACTGGTATACATGGTATGGAAGGAGGAGACAGTCAAGAGCCTGTTACTGTTGAGGTGTCAGCAAATACAGATGGTAGTTCTGCTGGTAAGTGTCTAACAACCTTCATAGGGAGGACAGTTTTCCTTTTAAATATTTATATGTTTAAATGCTTTTACGAAATATTTAAACATTTTTTTCATTGGCTATCTGAATCTACCTGAGTATAATTCCAATGACACTACAGTGAAAAGCAGAGACAACAATAAATAGCCAAATGAAGTTCTATTAGGATGGTGCCTACTAACTGCGAACCATTTTTATTTGTTTTAAATTGTGCCAGTCTCTTAAATCACCCAAGAGTGCCAACACAATCCGGAAAAAAACAGAATTCCTTTTTTATTTTCTACTGAAATGTTTTTGTAGATTAATTTGGTGATATAGATATCTTTTAAGATTACTAAATACCATCACTTTTGTTGGCTACAACTGACTCAAAGGTCAGGTCAAAATGTTTTCATTCATTATAAATACATTATTGAAGACAATGCAACCATAATAAAAACACTTGTTAATCCCATCACCTTTCACAAAAACAGATAAACAGATAAAAACTATTATTATGCATAAAAAAGGGGCAATTTTAAGCCATACTAAACTCAATTTAAAAACATCATCATTGACAGTACCAATGAAGAAGCAAATTAGAATGGATGAGCTACCAAAAAACTTATAAGATTTTTTTTTAAATTTCAAAGCATCAGGTATTGGAGATGTTGATCCCGATTCCAGCATGGGTATGTCAAGCGAAGAGATGAGCATGAGAGTACAACACCACAGTGGAAGTGGAGATGAAGGTATGCTCTTGTCATGACAGCTACATTATGCAGTTTTCATGCAGCCTGACTTAAACTCTGGTTAATCACGGCCAATGAGCAAACTCACAAGATAGAGCCAATAAAAATGCGTAGTGAAATCTGGGTACACTGCTAGGGTCACAGAACAAAAAAACTGTCCCTGGTTAGCAGACAGACTTCACCCACAGTTACTTTCAGCTGCACACAGGCTAGCCAAGACCAACCAATCACATTTATGGAATTTTTATTTTGTTATTGTCAATAACACAATTTTTATGTGTTATCACTTAGACAAAGAAAAAAGCACATGATTGATTTTAACCAATTTTATTTTGGACAGTAGACAAAAATTGAATATAAATTTGCGATAAACAAGTTCAGCAATAATTATTTTATGTTTTAAATTATCTTTTTCTGTTTTCTTTTTGTGCTTTGGTTGTTTTTGCTGTCTATCAAACAACCAAGTCACAGGGAAGAGAGCCATGTTGACAAATGCAATGTTACTGCACTTGAGCAGATTTATAATTTGCAGCAAAATGGCTTTGTTATGCATGAGTAGATCATTATTTGTAGGCAATTCAATATTTCACAGTTAGTGTATCTTGGTCAATCAAAGTAATGGAAAAAAAATTTGAATGATAATATAGTTTGTTATTCTGGAAACGAAACTTGATTGACAGCATGTGAATATGGCTACCATTGATTGTTAGCAAAAAAAAAAAAAGATTTTGAAAAAGAAGCATGTCAGAAAGTACTAGCAAAAAATGGATCTTTTTAAAAAGTTTGATGGCTATACACAAAATTCCAATTAAGTTTTTTGGAATCAAAATTACAGAATTTGTGCATATTCAGTGGGCTAACTGGCTAGCCTCATCTTGGTGGGTTTTTTTTTTTTTTTTTTTACATAATTAAATAATAGTTTATCTCTCAAGTTTCTATAATTTTAATGTACATATTAACTAAAATATTGATATGGCAGCCACATTGGCATTCAGTGTAGATGACAACTGATTGATTGTTTCTTTCTTTCCAGAATCTACTCCATCTAGGTTAACAGGAGGCAAGAGGAAGCTCAGTGATGGTCCTCGTGTCTGTGAGGAGTGTAACAAGTCTTTCAAGTACCCATCAGACTTGAAAAAACACTTGCAGATCCACACCAGTAAGTACAGAATAAGCTCATTATCTACAGGCATTCCAGCACTGGCCTTTGGCAGTGCAAGTGTTCTTTAGTGTGGCATAGCAGTAGCTTGTCTTTTGAATCATTTTTGTGCTTTCATCACTTAATAGTCATTATGAGTTATCATATTCTTTCATAGATCATCAAAGAGATTGTTTCAGGGTTTAATAAAATTGTGGTTGATGTTGTTTGTTAGCATTAGGCCCTGGCTAAACAAGGAAACATGTTTACCACTGCGTGTTTCCAGTTTAGCCACATGCAAAACATTGCTGCGTGCAACAAATTTTGCTTCCAAGACACAAAACATGTTTTTGCTGTGCGGCAGAAACATTTCATGTTTCCAAGACGCATGGAAACATTGTTTCCTGACAGTTTTGTCACCTTATATTAGGAAACATTTAGGGAAACATGTTTCCTTGTTTAGCCAGGGCCTTAGGTTTATAGGCTTCATGAATCTGCCATGTTGAACAGAGGAAAAGAATAATTTCTGGGCATGAACCAACAAAGGTTTTTAATATCATGAAAATAGAAAGATAGGCTAGCAAGAGCAAATGTGGCCACCTCATGGGAAAGATCCACTGAAAAAGTTCAATATTTGCAACAGACCAAGTATTAAGTGTAATTACTTCGTCCCACCTGCCGTCTCAATAATATTGTTTGTTACATTGAAAGTGATCTATCATGTCAAGGGTCAGTGCTGCTTTAAGAAATAATTCTGAAAAATAAATACATATATACGCCTAATCGCAGGAACGTTGTCATATGAAAATAGCAATAGGAATTAATGTTTTTTTAAACCAAAGTGGTATAATTTTTTACTGTTTTGAAGGAATAGACATTTTTGACATTGCTTTGTTGGTATATACTAAAACAGTAATTTTCAACTATCTAGGGGGCTTTCGAATCCAAATTAAAATAATAATTTCTAAGTAATTTATTATTGTTCATCATTATATGACAGCGTCCTTGCTATTAGGTGTATACTTAATACAAAATATAATTGTTTAACCCCAAATTTAAGCAGTATGTTATTGAAATGACAACTATTTCTATATATTGTGCTCCATGATTAACTGTCCATAATTTCTTCAGATGTGAAGAAGTTCAAGTGTGATGATTGTGGTCGTTTATTCCGCCGTCTTCACCAGCTCAACGTGCACATGCGTATCCATACAGGAGAGAAGCCATACGTCTGCAGCAGGTAAGTGCCATATATGCCGTATGACGATGATGATGATAATGATAATAATAATTTATTATTTCAATTGCTCACGTTCCATTGGGAGAGGCTCACATGCGCATTACAAACATAACATTACTTTTACAAAATTTCGCAAAGCATAACGTTTTCATGTTATTCTGTCGGGGGGGGGGGGGACAAATATCGATTAGATGGAATTACTTGTAATTCTATTTGTGTATAATATTATCATAATCAGTTTTGGTTTTTATTGCAGATGTAATGTTGCATTCCGCCATGATTCCACCCTGACTATGCACATACGAACCCGCCATGACCATCTCAGACCCTTCAAGTGTGATGAATGTGGGAACACATTTGGTCGACTCTCCCATCTTCGCAAACACGTACGCAAAGTCTGTGGAAACAGAATGAACAAGGATCGACCCATTGCGCAGTGCCGCTTCTGTGAGGAGAACTTCCCTACCAAGGGTGATCTAAGAAAACATGTGCTGACATGCGAGAGAAAAGAAGCCAAAGTAAAAGCTAAGGAAGTGACGTTACATGTGTGTGACCAGTGCAGCAAGGATTTTGCCAGCCCGTATAACCTTAGAAGGCATCAGCTGACCCACACCGACGAGAAACCTTTCCAATGTGAAGTCTGTGCCAGGCAATTCAAAGAGAAGTCCTCTCTTTCCAAGCATATGAAACGCAAACACACGGGTGTTGATCAAGGAAGCCAGACTGATGAGACCGGGGAGACTGAGTACAACAGTGTGGACGTGATTGCTGAGTCAGCAGCAGCTAGCGGTGTTCCCATCGATAGTGATGATGATCAAGTTGAGTCAATGAATGTGACCGAAGTGGCTTCATCAACGGTTGATGCTAGTACTCTGATTACTGATCCATCAGAAGCAGTTAGAGTACAAGGACAAGAGGATGTGGAGATGACTACTATTGAGCTTAGCTTACCCCCTGGTGCTGAATCCCATGAAGCCACGGCTTTACAGGCAGCCGTAGAGGCTTTAGTTTCAGCCAGTCAGCAACAGATGTCTATGGAACACAGCATAGTAGTGCCAGCTGACCCGTCAGCTGGTAAGGAGATCTACAGTAATGTAGCCGATGTACAAGATAACCAAGATGTCGGTATGGTGGACTCGACGACTGAGCTAGTAACAACAGAGGTGAAGGCAACCACACCAGAAGATAACCAAGTAGAATATGTTGAAGCTAATGAAGCACCTGAAACAGAAGCATGATCACAAGAGGTTTTGCTGACTAGTAATATAGTGTTCTTACTTTGAATAATCCTGACAAACAAAGCTAGCTAAAGCTGTCCGTGACTGGCATTATTTAGCCGGCTGTTTTATTAATAGGTGTGTTGAATACTCGTTACATTCTTACCTGTGTCATTRGTTTGTCCATACATACACTTGATCATATTGACCGGTAGTACAGGTTTTTGCCACTGACTAACAGTCAATGTAGGACTGTGCATTCAGCATTCTGAATTGAATGAGTACAACCTGTAGCTATGACTCACTGTGTTGACAGTTAGCGCATTATCTAATTTACGCACATAAAAAGTCTGAGCTAGCTATTCTAAGCCATCACTATTCTATCCATGCAATTGCTTCATCAGCGCATGTTATATTCAGAAAGGCAATCATTTCAGTCTAATGGCCACTGCCAGAAGGTGTCCATGTAGATAGTCGTGTATATATTTTAAGTAATTCATGTAGTTAGCTTTTCAACTATCTCTTTCTCAGAACCGCGGTGTGAGCGATATTTCGTAATGAATCTGATTTTTATTAGTTAAAGCTTAAAAGCGAACGAACATAGGAATTACGTTAATTTGTGTGTCATTGAGTACGAAAACAGGGTCCTAGCYCTATTGCTGGTAAATAATCATTATTCAATTACCTTATTGACGTTTCGATCGTAAATGCATGCATGCTGTTATTCATTGCATTAGCAGTAAGACATGCTATGTGCTTGATTATCTACTGTTTGCATCAGTGTATTGATCACATGGCGCATAATAGAGTAGCACAGTAATGTCTGTCTAATCTTAAGATTGTTGTGTATCACCTAGTATCACCTAGCTTTAGATTACTGGCCTCTTGCGTCAGTTTGTACATCATAAGTTATCAGTCAGTTCATTGAACACTTGATCCAGAAATATAGAGATCAAGATGAAATAAAGGAACAGAAAAAACTTTTAACAGTATTTTAGATGTAGAGTGGATTAACATTATTGGCCTGTAAGTAGCAATCGATTTAAGACATACAGGCACTGATTAGGCACTGTCGTTTACTGAATGTATGAGATCTGGTATGATTTTTGACAGTTTGTTAACTATAAGAACCACTATAAGATGTAATGTAATTTTTTAGCTAGTAAACTAATGAAAGTACCGAACGCGCTTGTTAATTCACTTGTGTGTATACATAGTGGGTATCCAGTGATAACTTGTGAAATGTTCATAAATGTTTGCACTGACAGAGGCTTTTAACACGTTAAATATCGAATGTGTATCATGCAATGGTTAATTGTGTCATTTTCGTTCATAAAAAAAGTGCCAGAAAAAAATTCAAAATTATGTCCAAAAAAATTTCCTGAACAAAATAAATTGTCCAGCCCCACCCCCCTCAAAAATCTAATGGTCCGTCCCTAATGCAGATGAAATGAGCCTGGCGCATCGTTCTGATGTACAACCACGTTAGTAGAAGTCATTTGACATAAACGTTCAAACGCTAGGAGCCGCACTGGTTTAAAATGTCAACTATTAAGCCCTAAATTCCATCGATGCAAAACATGAAATACTAAATTATTGATATCAATTATTGAAAAAAACTGTTGATATCAATTCCGCCGCCGGCTTCAAGAATCTGGGTTTTCCGAAGAATTTAAGAACCTACACCAAACAATGGATTTAGGGTGTGGTTGATTCTTAAGGGATCATATGATTCGACTTTATCGTGTTTACGCCGTAATTATAGGTTTAATTATCGCGTGAGGAGAATAACCTGGAAAGAAGTCCAACAGCTAAAGCAGCTATCAAAACCAATATATATATCCGGTCACCTTTGAGGTGCAGTCAAGTCGTTAATTACTTCAATTAACTGTGTCCAATCATATAACCTTGTTCGGGTCAGGACTCGGCAGCCTAGGGAGAACAGGATATTAAAGTATAGAAAACCAAGGAATACGAGCTACTCGGTATTTACACATACGAGATACCCAGAACGAGAATTACATTTATAAGATTGCAGTTTTGGGATAGAATTTAGACTGACCAGTAAATTGATAAAGCAACTATACAAGACGAAACCTGTTTTCATTCCTTCATGTAAGACACATCACTTCCGGCATTTCATACTAGGAAAAGAATCGAAGCAGTGTGTTCCCGGCTGATGGCTAAAATTTCGTTTCTGTTTGCGACACCGTTACATCCACAAAGCTGTGGCCTTTCTCCATGTGATGAAACTGAAATTTAGAGTTGACCACCAAGTAGGTTTTGCAGAGTGAGGAAAACCGGAGAAATCATCGAAGAACAGGAGAGAATCAACAAGCGACATAAATAGGCGACGCAATAAAACGCCCATCACCCACGTATCAGTTGTATAGTATTCAATCAGGGAGGATCACGTGTTCAATCAGGGAGGATCACGTGTTCAATCCATACTGATAATGGTAATGAGTCTAATGGCTATATTTTTCAGTGATCTCATAACGTGGTATAGTAATCCATTTAAAGAGAGACAACTTTATTGCGTTATCTTATGCGTGGTAAAGAAATTTTAAATATACTGACGATTTACAATTACTTCATTGCGTCACTTCTTGCGAGATTAATCCATGGGCATTCTAGTACCCAGACTCTTCTCACCAAACAATCCAATCATTTTCGTTAGAAAGCTGAGAAGGCTTTGGGTACGAAAATGAACCTGCATTCAGTCGGTATAATGTTTCTCGTGAAACAGGGCCAGAATCCTTGTTCCTCGTGACCCGAAATTAGAAGCGATTTTTAATTGGCTCTCACCCGGTTCAATTCTACTCAAGTATGTTGTTGTTAGTTGTTTTAATCTTCGATGGGTTTCTAGTCGTTTGGATAACAGGTGAGTGCGCTGCGGTAGATTAAACGCTCATTGAATTAAGGGCTACCAATGCAAAGGTTAGCGGTTAACTTTGCGTTGATTTTGGTTAGCACCATTGTCATCACTGTCACACATGTTGTTGTATTCGAAAAAAAAGCGCTTTTGCTCTTTTCAATTTTGGGAATTTACTGAGAGATTAGTCAAGCCTACTTGGAGTTCCTGATGAGGTAGCTCAGTACCGGCACAAATTTTCAAAAATCTCAGTTTTCTCAAAGTCTAAGGGAAAGTATGATATCATACAATAACAGAATAATGTTACTTGATTTGTAAACTGACTCGAGGGAATCCAAACAAGTTTCCAGTCACACATGACCATCGTTTTTAATTTCCCTTCTTTTCTTCTATTCTTCTTTTCTTCTTTTCTTCTTTTTTTCTTTT